TACTGGCCAGCAGCAGGGTACCAAGGCCCTACTCGGGTGAGTTCATGGCTACAGGACACCACCTACAGGAAGGTGACGTGGCAGGGACCCTTCTCTGAAGGGTGGGGCCTGGGGATAGGCTGGCCCTTCTGCACAGTGCGTCTCATGATCAAGAGTGAGTCTCGGCCAAGCCAGAGATGACCCAGCAGGGGGTTGGCTGGACCCAATGTGCTGGGATCACTGACAGGCTCAGTGGGGGTGGGGGGTGGCCAGAGAGAAGGGGTGAAGTGGAGACTTGGAGGGGGAACCCACCTGAAAACAGAGGTGGGCCCTCACCCAGGGCTCAGAGCCTAATGCACATGGCACCCACCCCACCCACTGTCTCTTGCCTTCACTGGCTCAATATCCAGACAGGGAAGGTGCTGTGCCCACCGCTCAGGCGGTACATCCCTGCAGGCCGGGAGTCTGCACCTCCCTCAGATCACAGCTCTGCAGAGTAGGAGCTGTGAGAATCTCAGGAGGAAATCTTCAGGGGGGCAGGAGCTGCATGGGCCAAGGCTTCCAGCAGGTGTGGGGGACCCCAGGGTGGGCCCAGTGCAGGGGTGGATGGAGTGGTGAGACCCGGGGTGCCCTGCATCACTGTAGCTGGAGAAAGTGCCCAGGAAATGCCTGGTGACAGATTTGCATTTTAAAGCAAGCTGGGGTGTGGAGGCCCCAGAGGCAGCAGCTCAATGGGAGGCTGGGGGCATCTGGCCTCCTTTGCACCTGGTACAGTAAGGGGTGGGGGGGAATTCTCTCACAGACTTTGTCCTTGGACTTCTTTAACCAGAGTTCTGCGGTGGGTCATTGGTGCTTCTGTGCTCGCGGGGTGATTATTCGCGTGAGTTCTGGGAAATCCTGGCCCCAAGTCCAGGCCCTGGAGGCCGTTTCCTGGGAGACGCCCCCTGCTGGTGGTTCACACTTTTGCAGTTAAGAAGCCCGTTGCTTCTGTTCGCTCATCATTGGTCTTTTGCCCGCACAGAGAGGAGCGCACAGACCCAGAGGAATCCCCACAGCCAGCCCTCGGCCGTCCTGCGGGCGGGGTCAGACCCTTCCTGACCAGCCCCAGGTCGGCCCCGGGAAGTCCGGAGGCAGAGGGGGAGACGGGGCTGCTGTCTTACCTGCCTGACACTTCTGCACAGCTGGGGAGTGGTTGGCGATTGGGCGCAGACGGTCTCAACAGTTTAGTGCTGAGGCTTTTCACTTTTGTCACTTTTAGCAAAAGTACACGTGACATTAAGTGAATGACCCCCTATTAGTACAGGCGCAGCGACCTGCTCTCTGGAGGAGACCCCAGCACACCCCTCACCCTCGTCTCTGCAAATACAAGTCTGCGGGCCCACCCCCCCTTCGCCCCCCCAGCACAGAGAAGGCGACGCCCTAAACCAGGGCGCCCTGTCACCCTGACACCCTTTGTCCTTATAAAAAGTTCTCAGCTTACAGGGCAGGTTTTATTATTACACTCCCCCCAACACTCCGCCCAGAAGTCAGGAAACAGAACATACATTTTTTATAATGGAACCTCATACACTATGCTCTTAAGTGGCTTCGATTGTTAACGGTAAATCATGGGTTTTCCGGGCAGCCTTTTTCCGCAGTGAAGGCGCGCGATTCCAGGTCTGGACTGGTCTCCGCCTGGACGCCCCCACGCCCCACCCTCCCAGCTGGACTCTGAGCCCCGAGCTTAGAGAGCTCTGTGTTGGGGCGGGAGAGGGGTGGGGGCGCCCACTTCTCCTCCCATCCTGACAGTCCGGGGACCCCGAAGGTGGGAGGACAGGGAAGAGGGGGCGAGGTCCTCGGTTATCACCCTCGGTGTCCCGGCCAGGCCTCTGTGCTTGCAAGCGCACCCCGAACCGCGTCCGCTCTGGTACCACGTGCCCAGCGCCGCTCAGAAAGCAGGGCGAAAGGTTAGGCGTCGGACGTGAAAGCCACTCCCTTCCCTCGCAGGGTGTTGGGGTGGGGGCCCCCGTCTGTTAACGCTTCGTTTTTCATCCCAGCCCCAGGTCCAGGCTTGGAGCCGCCGGGGCCCAGGTACCTCTGCCCTGGGGTGAACATCTTGAGGGGGGATCTCAGGCGAATCTAACGAGTATCTCCGGTACTTACCGGCCACCGCAGTGGGGCGGGGGCAGAAGAAATGTCAGCCTTGCTGCCAAGGTGACTCCAGGGTCGGCATGCAGCCCGGGAGTCCCCTGCCCCCCTACCGTCCCCCCGACCCCGGGCGAAGGAAGGGGGTGGGCGGGGCGGCCTGGAAGGAGATAGCTTCCACTTCTGGGCGGGGGAGGGGTGAAATGGTGTGGTGTGGGGTGGGGTGGGTTGGGGGCGGCCGGCCCCGCCCTGGGGTCTGCAGGCTGGGCCGGGTTGGCGGGGAGCCCTGGGGAAGCGGAAGGGAAGGCTCCGTGTGCACACGCGCGCGCCGCAGAGAAAAACAGGAGGATATCCACCTAAATGATAAAACTTGTGTCGTGGTCTTTTTTCTGCGGCGTGCATGTGGCTGTGCCGCAGGTCTCGCGTGGAGGTGGGAGGTGGTTGGGAAGCCTCCCAAGGCTCGGGCGCCGCTCCACAGCCCCACCTGGCGAGGTGTGTGCGCGGGAGTCCGGGCTCCCGTGCAGCCTGCGGAGACGCCGCTCGCCGCTAGGGGTGGGGGGCGCTCTGGGGACCACGCGCTGTGTAACTACCTTTCCCGGGAAGTCTGCGGGTAGGTGGCATCCCCTGCCCCGGGGCTCGAGGCTGAGCTTAGGACAACTCAGAGGAGAGTCACTAGTGTTGGTGACAGGCTGTGCGGGCGTCCCTGAAGAGCAGAACAGAATGGCACTCAGGCTGGTGGCTCACCTGGCTCCTTCTGGTTAAACCAGGGCGCTCTCCACCATCCTGGTGGAGAGCGCCCTGCCTTGCCCGACGCCACTGGGCTCCTTCCGGGGTCGGAGGGATGGAATTCCGGGCCTTGAACTTGTGTAGGAACCACTGTATCTGTGGGTCATGACTCCAACCCAGACGCAGCAGCCCTGTGGGATGTGCGGTGAGCCCCCCGCAGTTAGCGCCTGCACTGTCGCCAGCATCTTTGCGCCCCCTGAGGATTTGTGGGAACATCTGACCCTCATCTGAGTGAGGCTGCCTTTCCTTTTGTGTTAACACTTCAATGAAAAGGGTACCTCACTGCCACATTTGTTTAAAAAAAAAATTGGTAACTGTATTTTCACACAATTGTTTCTCCTAGGAATCTAGGGGAATATGTTTTATGCATTTAAATACAGTTTCTGATAAGGGATCTATGGGTTCACCATCCACCCAGAGAGGCTCAGACCCACAAAAGATTGGGGTTCCCCAGCTCAGTGGTCTTTGGGGGTGCAGGTGAGGTTGTCTAGAGGGAGACCGCTAGAGGCTTAGGGGAGGCTGCAGTGGACAGAAGTCCAGGGGATTTTCCAGCTTCATAACACCTGGGAGAATTGATTTCTCACACCCCCCCTTTCATAATGGGGTCCCAGAAAAGAGGGCCAGTGTGCCCCAGGAGAGTGGTGGAGGAGGGGCAGGGTCCCCAGGGGAGGGAGCCCCAGGATGTGGGAGGAAGGACTGACTATGAGTGCTAATCTGCGGGAATTCACACCATCCAAGTCTAGTTCCACCGAGAGATTCCGGGCTCCCCCATTTCGTGAGCATGGTTCTGGAAATGCCAGCCTGGCTGATGGGGGGTCTGGACCAGGTTCTCGGGGGGACATTGCCTGACAGTCAGGTGATCTGTTAAACCTGCTCTGAGGGTGGGGAGCTCGCTGTTGACCCCCCTCCCTTTGAAGAGTGCCTTGCTGCATTTCATGGCCTCCTGGGGGGAGGGGGTGCTGTGGCAGGAGCAGGGGAAGATGAGGAGTGAGAGGTGGCACTGGTGGAGTGTGGAGGAGGGGACCTCAGTTAGGAAGTGGCTCTGTCCAGGAATGAGGGCTGGCCTTGGGCAGTCTGGAAAATGTGGGGGCTCCATGCAGACCTTCAACGAGGGAAAAACCCTCTAAAGACAGCAAGCCTGAGCCCCAGAGTGTGGGCCCTTGAAGTCACCTACCCCCGCCCTCTGCCCTCTGACCTCTGCCACACCCAGGTGAGACCTGGAGTCAGGGGTCTGCCTGACCTTGGTCACATCCGGCCTGGACCTGGGGCCAAGGAAAGGGTGTTGTCATCGACCTGTGGAGGCACTGACAGGGGACATTTTAAAAAATGAGGAGGTTCAGGGGTAGATGGCGGGACAGACTCAGTCTGTAGAAACCTCTGTGTCAGCTCTGCCCCAGGAGCATCCTGGTCCCTCTGCCTCCTGGCCCTGAAGCCAGCTCGGGCCCTGCCCCCAGGTACCCTCGACTGATCAGGGAGAGCAAAGCCTGAGACAACAGGACCCTCTCGCCAAGGGCCTGCTGGCCAGGTGGCTATTGGCCACCTGGGTCCCAGACACGCCACACGGCCAGGCAGCACGGCCACCCCAGATATGTCCAGAGGTGCAGACGTAGGAGCAGGGGCCCCAGACGGCCCTGGGTGGGCCTCAGAAGTCAGTGTAGGAAAAGCTGCCCAAGTGTGACTTGTGCCTAAGATGCAGGAGCCAGGGCTATGCTTCCCTGGGGGATGGGAGAAAACCTGCAACTAGGCCCATAAAGAGAACGCCAGGGGCCAGGACAGCACGTTTATTCAATCAACTTGAGACACAAGTATGGGGGGGTAAACAGCATCTGGGGGGCAGGGGTCGAGATAGGCAGGGCCCCCAGGAAGGCTATGGGACAAGGCCCAGGGGCCACGTCTGTCAGAAACAGCCTGAGGACCCCGCCCAATAGGGGAGGGATGTCTTAGCTTTATCAGGGCAGCATGTGGAGGCTGCAGACAGGCTCATTGCGGTGGCTCGGGTTGGGGGTCAGCGAGTGCTCCTGCGGAGGCCTGTACCAGTGCATGTGCTGGGGGAAACCCTGTGGGCGGTCGTGAGGAGGGAGGGGCTGGCTGTGGCGGGACTGGACACGCGGTCAGCAGCAGGCCTTCTGGGCTGAAGCAGGGACACAGCAGGCCAGGCGGGAGCACACGGGGCGGCAGATGAGGGACACGCAGAAGGCTGGGCGGCAGCAGGAGGAGGAGGGGGCACAGCAGGAGGAGACAGGCACGCAGCAGGCGGGTCTGCACACAGGGCGGCAGATGACGGACACGCAGGAGGAGGGTTTGCAGCAGGATGAGGGGCAGGGGGTGCAGCAGACGGGCTTGCAGCAGACAGGTGTGCAGCAGGTGGGTTTGCAGCAGATAGGAACACAGCACGCTTGCTGGCAGGGGGAGGAGGTGCAGCAGGAGGGCTGGCAGCTAGACTGCTGGCAGCATGAGGGTGTGCAGGAGCTGGTGCAGGCTGATTGGTAGGGGCTGGGCCCACAGCTCACAGGGGTGCAGACGAGGGGCTGGCAGGGGGCTGGGGCATAGCAGCTGGGAACACAGCAGGAGGGCTGGCAGCAGCTTGGAACACAGCAGGTAGACTGGCAGCAGCTGGGGGCACAGCAGGAGGGCTCACAGCAGCTGGGGGCACAGCAGGTGGACTGGCAGCAGCTGGGGACACAGCAGGTGGACTGGCAGCAGCTGGGGACACAGCAGGAGGGCTCACAGCAGCTGGGGGCACAGCAGGTGGACTGGCAGCAGCTTGGAACACAACAGGTGGACTGGCAGCAGCTGGGGGCACAGCAGGAGGGCTCACAGCAGCTCTCTGGACAATCTTCCACCTGCCAGGAGGAGTCGGTGCAAGAGTCACTGGAACCAGGCAGGCAGACGCGGCTGCCATAGCTTGGGTCACTGGAGCAGACGGACAGAGTGGAGGCAGCCATGGTGGGTGGTGGGGCTGGAGGTGAGCTGGGAGGAGTGTGTGAGTGTGAGTGTGTGTGTGTGTGTGTGAGGGTGAGTGAGTGTGTGAGGTGCCCAGGGCTGTCAGCCTTTATACCCCTCCTCTGTGTTGTGTGTTGCCCTAGCAGGAGGCCCCCACGCCCCCCCTTCCTTGTTGGTGTTTGGAGTTGGTTCCCGAGGAACCCTCATTAGGGCTCATTTATTTTCCCAGGAGCTGCTGCCCAGCTCATAAAAGTCCTGCCTGTGTGTCAGGGCTGGGCGTCTGGTCCTGAGCGAGTCTGCTCGGTGGGCCTGAGAGTTGGTGTTGGGGTGGGGTTGAGGCAGGTGGACGGAGTGGGTGCTGCTGGGTGCTCATTGCAGGGATCTGGTGATGGGGGAGGGAAGCTTGGATTCTGGGTCCCAGAAATGGCTCCTCATGCGCGTGTTTGTCCCTGAGGCATGCTGTGCCCTTTCTTTTGCATTGTCACCAAGTTCCTGTAGGTGGTTGGGTGGAGGGTCAAAATCCCGAGCCATTCTGCCTGGGGTTGGGGCCAGCTGTCGCTTCCTCAGGTTGTGGTCTGACAGGCACAGCCTGGGGATGGGAGCTTTGTGCTGGTGTCTCTCCAGATGGCACCTCTGGGTGGAGGGTCACGCGGTGGGCAGGGAGGGGCAGTATGGTCCTGTGCCCAGCTGAGCAGCAGCCACCAAGCTGGGACATGTCTCCTCTGTGACCTCTGGGCTCTCAGGGCCCTTGTGGCTCTGGTCAGGGTGGCAGACAGCCTCACAGGCCCTGTCCTGGGGAGCGAGTTTGAGCATCACCTGTAAGGGTTTGGGGGTGGCTGGACCAGCCTCCTTAGAAGGCTGAGCGTTCACTGTTATTATTATTCTTATATTGATGCTGTCTCAGTGACATTTTAAACCGGCACACTCAGACTCAGAAAGCATGGCAGCCAGATTTTCCATACAAAGTTGACCACGCGCAGCAGGTCCTTGAATAACGGTGTTTCTCATCATGACATGGATGAGATGCCAGAGGACCGTACCTCCGTTGGTGCCAGCGCCTGTAGCCGAGTCAGCTCCATCATCTGTCCTGTCTCCCAAAGTTGCAGAATCTCCCGCAACGCTAAGCGAAGGCTGGCTGTACGTCTGACTTTGTGTCTTGGGGTGGCTGTGATGACCAACCACGTGCTCGGTGGTTAAAATAACCAAAACGAACCCTCTCCGGTCCCGGAGGACTCAAGCCTAAGAGCAGTTCCTGAGCCGAGACCCAGGTGGCACAGGACCCTCTGGAGGCTCCAGGGGCAACCTTCCTGCCTGTTCCAGCTTCTGTGGCTCCGCTCTGGCCCTGCAAGCTCCGCCTCTACAGTTAGGTGTCCTGTCCGTCATCTGTGAGAAAGCAGAGTCTCGGCCTCGCTGTGAGGGGCAGGGCCACTCAGGGCCCACCTGGCTGTCCCACGACCAGCTCCCCTCTGGCAATTGTTAATCTAATCATCCCTGCATTCAGCCTGAGGGGCCTCTCCTTCTGCTTGTGTTTGGAGTTGGGACGAGGCTGCCTTTGGGGACGTTTTCTGCCCCCCTGCAGCATTCCTGGCAAACACGCTGTGTTTTACCTGCCCCGTGTGGTCTCTCCCCCTCTCTGCTCACCCCTCCCTCCCACCGCCTGATCCAGTGTGTACGGCCTGGGCCGGTCACTGTGGGCCTCCGTCTCCTCCTCCACGAGATGGGGGTGAGGGTCACAGTGCACCCAGGCCATTGTGGGATTTAAACATCTTCAGCTGACACAGTCACTGGTCTCACCACGATTTTACTGGCCACATGGCAGCATCGTGCTTAACAAGGCGACGTGGTTTCTACCAAGTCTAGAAGAGCCGAGAGGCGTTGAGTTGGAAGGTCAGCCACTGGTTCGGCACCGGTGGGTCTGCCCAGAACAGGTAGGACAGGCCCCGGGCCTCAGGTCTGGTGACAAGTTTGCACTATCCAGCTCTCTGCTGAAGTTCAAAACACTGACTTCCTGGGTTTCTAGAGCATTCCGATGAAATGGGAGGCCTCGTCCAACACGTCGGGCGCTTCTCTCACAGGTAGCCACCTAGGGAGACCACCCTGCAGGCTGCTGCTGGCGAGGGGGCTTTGGGTCAAAGGAGCGCCCCCGGCCCCTGTTCTCTCGGCTTCTCTTGCTCACACTAGACCCCCAACCCGACACTTTGTGCTCGGAGCTTCGGGTGAGGGCAGGAGAACAAGGTCAGGACCACAAGGACAGGCGAAGGGCTCTGCCCAGCCAAGTGCGGCCGACGCCCCCAGGGCCGCCTGTCTCTGCTGGTGGTTCCCCTTCTGCCCAGGCTGCAGCCATGACAATGCCAGGCCCCAGATGGCAGTTTCTCCCAAGCCTACAGGATTCTACAACATTTTTTCTCCTGGATTGCATCTTCTACTGGACAGAAGGTGCCATTTCTTTCCAAAATGCGTTCTGTATAAGAATGGGCACATGGCGCTGGGAGCTCTGAGGACAGTGGCCTCCGCTAGGAAGGTCTTGCCCCATGAACTTGTCTTGGGGTCTCTGGGGCTGGGACCCAGGGTCCTGTCTTAGGCTGCTCAGAGTCACTTAGCGAGAAGGAAAATGGTGATGAGCAGCAGGGACAGACCCCAAAGACCTACTGGAAGTACCACAGGCTCAGTGGCAGGACCAGGGTTTGCATGTGGGGGGCTGGGGGTGAGGGTGGAGTCCAGGGTGCTGGGCGGGGGTTCCACCCTCGGGGGATAGGTGGGCTGGGAGAGGCAAGTTTGGAGGAAGGTCCTATGGGGAGCTGTAAGTGGCCTGAATCCAGGAGAAGCCCTGGGGACGTGTTAGGGGAGAGAGTCAAGGTCCCCACGCCACAGTGAAGTGGAGGGCGACAGGCACAGGAAAGTCAGAGAAAGAAGGAGCAGGAGAGTTACCTCCTGGAGCTGAGGGCCAAGCTCCGTGGGGACAGGTTCCAGGAGAGGGGATGGGAGTGGGACTGATATCAGCTGGGGTCAGGCAGGGTCCGAGGCGTGGTGGTGGGTGGGGAGGGTAGAGGAGAGGATGTCACAGTGGAGCGGTGAGTAGGTGAGAAATGGGCCACCCAGAGCTGTCAGGCAGCTCTGCTCTGGAGGGGTGCAGGCAGAGCCAAGGGGGAAGACGACTGGGTTTTATTTGTCATGTTACATGAGAGAAGACTTCGGGGCATGTGTGGTCCCGGCGGAATGCTCCAGAGAGAGGGAGGTTTAGGAGCCGGAGGAGGCAGGTGGGCCAGGAGGGCTGGGGCGGCGAGTGCAGGTGGTGCCTGACTCCAGTCCTCTGGGCGTGGGCGGAGGGGCTGCTGCATCTGCCCTTCCTCTCTCCTGGGGAGAGACACTGAACCCCATGTCCTGCCGGGCCCCTTCTGCAGGGGGCTTTCCTCCAAGGGGGCCTCTCAGGGAGATGCCCAGGGCTGTGTGGTAATTGTGCCTGGGACTGGCCACAGCCAAGTCCCTGAGGGTCCGCCACAGATGGGCTCCTGGGAAGGGGGCTGCCCATACCAAAGCCCCCATTCCTGGGACCGGCCCAGATCCTGTGGGATGGGAGCTAGGTGCCAGCTCAGCGCGGGCAGGGGCCCTGAGAAAGGGCTAGTGCAGCTGGGGTCAGGCAGGGCTGTGAGGGCACTGGGCCCCGCCTCTGTGAGGACTGGCTGGCAATTCAACTAGAAATGGCTAAAAGAACCAAGTGCCATTAAGGTTAAATGCAGGTGAGTTTATTAGGTTTTTCCAAGCAGCCTCTAAGGAGGCAAGACCACTGAGACTTGTATCATGGACATGGCTGGCCACTGGGACACCAGGAGGAGTAAGCCAGTGAGCATGGACAGGGTCATCCGGAGTTTGATGGAACTTCCTCCCCAGCTGAGAGGAGGGGATGCTGTCAGTGCATCTCAGGAGTTCCTAAGAGACAGACCCTAAAGGCAGCTGCAAAGCCAGCAGTGCCCCATTGTGCTCAGCTGGCCCAGGAGGGACATGCCTGGTCAGCAGCAGAATTTCTGGGCTGAGGCAGGGACACAGCAGGCTGGGCGAGAGCACACAGGGCGGCAGATGACAGACAGACAGGAGGCTGGGCGGCAGCAGCTGGGCCGGCAGCAGGAGGAGGAGGGGGCACAGCAGGAGGAGACTGGCACACAGCAGGAGGGTCTGCACACAGGGCGGCAGATGACAGACATGCAGGAGGAGGGTCTGCAGCAGGATGAGGGACAGGGGGTGGCCTGGCAGCAGGAGGGGACTGAGCAGGGGGCAGTCCCAGAGCAGATGGGCACACAGCACACGGGCTTGCAGCAGATGGGTGTACAGCAGATGGGCTTGCAGCAGATGGGCACACAGTAGGAGGGCTGGCAGCAGCTGGGGACACAGCAGGAGGGCTGGCAACAGCTGGGGGCACAGCAGGAGGGCTGGCAGCAGCTGGGGACACAGCAGGAGGGCTGGCAACAGCTGGAGGCACAGCAGGAGGGCTGGCAGCAGCTGGGGACACAGCAGGAGGGCTGGCAGCAGCTGGGGACACAGCAGGAGGGCTGGCAACAGCTGGAGGCACAGCAGGAGGGCTCACAGCAGCTCTCTGGACAGTCGTCCACCTGCCAGGAGGAGTTGGTGCAAGAGTCACTGGAACCAGGCAGGCAGACGCGGCTGCTGTAGCTCAGGTCGCTGGAGCAGACAGACAGGGTGGAGGCGGCCATGGTGGGGCGGTGGGGCTGGAAGATGATGTGAGTGTGTAAGTGTGTGTTTGAGGGAGTCGGTGTGAGGTTGTGTGAGCTGCTCAGGGTGACTGGGCTTATATACAGCTCAAAGGTGCGTATGTTGTCCCATCACGAGGACACAGAAGAGCCTGTTTCCTTGTTGTTCTTGGACCAGGTCCCTGAGGACGCTGTGCATCCATAACAGATAGCTCAGCTCGTTAAGCCCCTTAGAGGTCGGAGCCCAGGGCCTACGGAGCCGGGGTGCAGAGCAGACATCCACAGTGGGGACTGGACCTGAGCATGGACCCAGGAGGGCCAGTAATTCCCAACAGTCCCCCTCTGGGCACCTTTCTGGGGCTGCTTACTATTATTTCCCCTATTTCTCCATGCTTGGTTGAATCATAAGCATATTTTGATCTTTTTTTATCCTCTTTATTTTGGGGTGTAATGCTTTTCTGAATCCATAAACCAGTGAATAATTTGGAGCTATGTTTATTTTTATTGTATTAGCAAACACTTAAATAATAGCTCTTGCTATGCCAGCAACTATTCTGAGCAATTTAATAAATGTGAACTCTGCAACTCTCACAGCAGGCTGGTGAAGTAGGAGTTGTTGTTCCCACTTTACAGATGGGGAGACTGAGGCACAGCTAAGCACTTGCACCAAAACCACGCTAGCAAGCAGAAGAGCCCAGATTGGAACCTGGTGGGCCTGGTTCTCAACCAGAGAGCAGAGAGACGTGGAAGACATGAGAAATCTGGACTCTGTGGGGGGCGGGGAACAGGGTGAAGCTGGATTAGAAACCGGTGCGAGGTTCACACGGAAAGGTACGGTGGGTGCCTGGAGACTGGGAGCTAGCTTGAGAAAGGAGCTTGCTGTATGGAAAGCGAGAAAATGAGCGTTCGTTTCCCTGAAGGAGGGAAGGTAGACAAGGTGACGTGATGCTGAAGGGAAGCCACCGTCCAGAAGGGGTCTCTAGGAAGCTGGGAGTTTTCTTTGGGGAGGCAAGGGGTTTTTTAAGTCAAGAACAAAGACTGCTGTCAACTGTAACGGAAAATAACACTTAAAAAAGAGAGCAAAGACATTCTACATGCAGGGGTGTCCAACCTGCTGCCCATGAGCTGCATGCGACCCAGATGGCTGTGACTTCAGCCCAAAGGCGAGATCATAAATTTACTTAAAACATGATGACATTTTTTGTGATTACATGTCACAGTGTATTTAATGTGTGGCCCAAGACAAGTCTTCTTCCAGTGTGGCCAGAGACGCCCAAAGGCTGGACACCCTGGCCACGTCCTTCTCTGTTGAGAGCTCTGTGCTAGGGCCTTGGCAAGGAGGGGACTGAAGTAGGAGGGGGCTGCTCGGCTAGACCCGAGGAGCCGGAGGGAGCCCGACACTCCCGGGCGGTGGGAGAAGTGAGGACTGACGGGGTGTGGTGCTCTCTGCGATGAAGGCCCAGACTGGCAGGTTTGCCAGTGGCGGGGTTTGAGTGTGCCCACCGTGGCTGATTTCAGGCCGTTGGCAGTTTAACAACCGGCTTGCCGACGTCCTGGCCGGCGCACAGTGGGCTCTCATGAGCTGCAGGAGCTGGCACGCCAGCGGGGCAGGGACTCAGAGAAGAGAGGGGTCTCTGATGATCAGGGTCCTGGCCACGCTGAGGGAGTCTGAGCCAAGTTGGCGCATGGCACGCGGGAGGCCCCTGGCATGTGGCCTTAGCTTGATGTCCTCGAGCTTCATCTGTGTGGCAGCGTGAATCAGAACTTCCTGTATTTTCATGATTGTATCGTAGCCCATCGTTCTGACGCACTCACTGTGTTTACCCACTTGCCTGGTTGTTTGCACAACCGGGTTCTGTGAATGAGGCTGCAAAGGACATTGGAGCGCCCTTTCCAGTTCTCCTGGGTGTATTCTGAGGAGAGGAAGTTCTGGGTCGATGGTAAGTCTCTGTTCAGCTTTTTGAGGAACTGCCAAAAATGTTTCCATAGTGGCTGTGCCATTTCATATCCCCACTGGAAATGTTTGAGGGTCTGGATTCCTCCACATCCTCAATGACACCTGTTAATTTCTTCTTTAAAAAAAATACAGCTATTCCAGAGGTATGAAACAGTATCTCATCATGGTTTCATCTGCATTTCCTTACTGACCAGTGTGGACTCCCTTTCACCTGCCTTTGGCCATTCATGTATCTTCATTGGGGAGATGCCTATTCGAGTCCTTTACCACTTTTCAGTTCAGGTGTTTGTGTTTTTGTTGTTGAGTGATAGGAGTTCCTTACATGGTCTGGGTATTAAACTCTTACTATACATATGATTTGCGAATATTTTCTCTCATTCTCTACATTGTCCTTTTGCTTTTTTTTTGGATAATGTCCTTTGAGTCACACAAGATATACATTTTGATCAAGTTCAATTTATTTACTTTTTCCTTTGCTCTCCTTGCTTTTGGTGTCAAATCTAAGAATCCATTGTCCAATTCAAGTTTATGAATCATTATTTCCTCTATGTTTTCTTCTAAGACTTTTTTGGTTTATCTCTTGCATTCTAGTTGTTGATCCATTTTGAGTTCCTTTTTGTGTCTGGGGTGAGGCGGGGGGACCAGCTGCATTCTTTTTGCCCATGGAAATCTAGTTTTCTCAGTATCTTTCATTGAAAAGATCATTTTTACCGCAATAAATGGTCTTGAAACCCTTGTCAAAATCAACTCACCATAAATGCATAGGTTTATTTCTGGTATCTCAATTCTGTTCTATTTGTCTGATAAAAAAATATTTTTTTGATCCAGCTGAAATTTTTCTTGGACAGAAGTAAAGACAAATATGTAAATATGCCACGAGCAGAATTTTTTTAGGCCACAAATTGACATTTCCTCATACATTTAGGAATCCTTTGCCAGCACCTTGTTTAGGGCCAGAGTTGGGGAGGGGGCAGTGTTCTGGCTCTGCCCTGCTTCCAGCTGCCCCTTGGGGCCCTGCACACGAAGGGTCCTCTACGTGCCCCTGCCTGTCCCCAGTGGAGACTGGTGCTCTGTGTGCAGCGACGCTGGTCGGGCTGGGTTGGGGGCAGGAGGGCTCACTGTCACCCTGGCCCAGCGCCGTCCGCCTGGAGAGCCCTGTTCACCTGGGACTTTGAGGGCAAGGTTTCCTCGGACTTCCTGCCTCTCCCCCCGTGACAGCCAGACTCCGCTTTGCACGAGTCGGGGTTCGGTGGGAGTCTCCCGCCACCCGGTCGCAGTGATCCTTCATGGCGCCGTGGGCCCTGGGGTCCAGGCCTGTGTCCCGTCCTCCACTCAGCTGCAGGGAGGTTTTCCCTCTGCCCTTCTCTACCTACATACAGTGTTTTGGGTGGCAGATGTGGGGACAGCGCCTTCCCCCACCCCTCTACCCTCCAGGGGCCCCCCACCTTCAGCTGAGCTTTCTGGAGACAGCCCTTTGAGGAGGGACTGCTGTGCTTAGGCAGGTAGCCATCTTCAGGGGAAGAATTTCAGAAAGCATGTGAAGATAAAACAGAGGGACCATCTGCAGCAAGAAGGCACATTTTATTAGCCTCGCACGGGGTGAGGTTTCCTGTTGGAGACAGAGGAGGACCCTGAGCACCAGGGCTTCCCTGAGGGGATGCACAGGGTCACGCGGGATCCAGATCGCCCTGCCACACTCTCGTCCCGGAGTTCAGGGCACTTGTTGGACGTGCTTTTCATCCTCCACCTGCACAACTGGAGGCCTGCCGAGGACTCAGGGTGGGAGAGGTGCAGGTGTGGTCCCATCCACACTGGGAGTGGCCGGGTAGGAGGCTCGGGGTCAACAGCAGGAAGGGGTGCCACAGGAGATGGGTGTGCAGACCAGGGTGGGGCAGGAGGGCTGGATGTACCCAGAGGACTGGCAGGAGGGGGCCACGCACACGACGGGCCTGCAGCTCACAGGCAGGCACACGGAGGGCTGGCAGGAGGGGGCCGTGCACACGATAGGCCTGCAGCTCACGGGCACACAGCAGGTGGTCTGGCAGCTCACCGGCACGTACACAGCTGGCTTGCAGCCCACGGGCAGGCACACGGAGGGCTGGCAGGGGCTGGGCAAGCAGCAGCCAGCCCGGCAGCCTGTGGAGCAGCTGGTGTGGCACATGTCGTCGAGGGGCTGGCTGGTGTGGCGTGGAGGGCAGTGGTGACCGCAGGCTCCTTCCCTGGCGGCCTTTATACTCGAGCTGTGGCCGTCCCCGCCGGACTGTGCGTCCCCCATGGCTGTTTGCACATGTCTCCCCAGCATCCTGTTTCCTGGGACGCACTGTTCTGTGTTGGGCTCCCCGTGAGTATGCTTGGCTTGGAGGCCCGGTTCCCCTTCTGTAAACAGGGTGATCTGGTTTGACGACGTGGCCCCGCATGGTTTCCGTGACCCCACGTGGTTTCCCCAGGCCATTGCCATGCACCGGGCCCCCTGGCTCAGAGCCGAGTGCTGTGTCCTTCTAGTCACTTTTGTCTCATACCAACAGGGAAGACTTGAGGCAATAATGTAGTTTGAACTTTAATTTTTAAAGATCTTATTTATTTTTAGACAGAGGAGAAGGGAGAGAGAAAGAGAGGGAGAGAAACATCAATGTGCTGTTGCTTTTTGCACACCCTGCAACCCAGGCATGTGCCCTGACCAGGAATCGAACCGGCAACCCCTTGGTCCACAGGCCAGTGCTCAATCCACTGAGCCACACCAGCCAGGCACAGGAAACACTACAGCAGGAGTCTGCAAACTGTGGGGTTGCCCCCCCCCCATCTATTTTCTATCTACTGTCTATGCTACTTATTTTCTGTACCTTCTACCCCCATCTCCTCCTCCCACTCCCCTGTTGCTAACCCTCCTTGAGATCTTCATTTCTATGTTTCCACTCCTGATCTAGCTGTCCTTTTAGTTTGCTTTCATTTTAGGTGTGGTTGTTAATAACTGTGAGTTTGTTGTCCTTTCACTGTTCATGTTTCTTTAACTTCTTTTTCTTAGATAAGTCCCTTTAACATTTCATATAATAAGGGCTTGGTGATGATGAACTCCTTGAATTTGGTCTTATCTGAGAAGCACTTTATCTGTCCTTCCATTCTAAATGAAAGTTTTGCTGGATAGAGCAATCTTGGTTGTAGTCTTCGGTTTTCATGACTTGGAATACTTCTTTCCAGCCCCTTCTTGCCTCTAAGGTCTCTTTTGAGAAATCAGCTGACAGTCTGATGGGAACTCCTTTGTAGGTGACTGTCCCCTTAGCTCTTGCTGCCTCTAGGATTCTCTCCTTCATTTTAATCTTGGCTAATGTAATTATGATGTGCCTTGGTGTGTTCCTTCTTGGGTCCAACTTCTTTGGGACTCTCTGAGCTTCCTGGATTTCTTGGAAGTCTATTTCCTTTGCCATCTTGGGGAAATTCTCCTTTATTATTTGTTCAAATAAGTTTTCCACTGGTGGCTGTTCCTTTCCCCCCTTCTGGTACCCCTATAATTCGAATGTTGGAACGTTTAAAGATGTCCTGGAGGTTCCTAAGCTTCTCCTCATTTTTCTGAATTCTTATTTCTTCATTCCTTTCTGTTTGATCATTTTTTTCTTCCTTCTGGTCCACTCCCTTGATTTGAGTCCCAATTTTCTTTCCATTACTATTGGTATTCTTTGTATCACCATTCATTTCAATTAGTTTAGCTTCCATATGTTTCTCTAATTTGTGACTAAAATCCACCAGTTCTGTAAGGATCCTGATAACCAGTGTTTTGAACTGTGCATCTGAAAGACTGGCTATTTCTTCATCACTTAGGTCTATTGGTTCTGGGGCTCTGAGTTGTCCTAGAGCCATTTTTGGTCTATTCGTGCTGTTAAGTGAGCGGAGCGAAGCCTTAGTTGTTTACCCGGACGGGGAGACCCAGGTCGCTGGTTTGTGACTCTGTGTGTGGGGGCGTGGTCAGAGAGGGAGCAATGGCGGTCCCCTCCGCTAGCCCAGCGCATCCAGTCACTCCGCACGCCTGGGGTTTATCCGATCGGAATTGTGCGAGCCTGCTGCCCCACGCCGGCTTCCCTTCTCACTGGCTTCTCTGCACGTAAATGCGCCCGACCGACCGACCGACCGACCGACCGCCGCGCCTCTTCCCTGTGCGCTCCGGCAGCCAGCTCGCTAGCGATCAGCGCCCTCGGTTGCCGCCTGCGCACACCGCGCACTGCCCTGGGAATTTTTTCTTGCTAACCTGTTCCGCTGCTGGCCTCGCTCCCCGTACCGGTCCAGCTGAGTATCTAGTTGTCCTTTGGACTCCCTATTGTCGATTTTTCGTGTGGTTTGGTTGTGACTGCTGTTAAAAATAGTTGTTCTTAGATTTGGTTGTGCACAGAGGCGAGGTCGTTCCTCCAGCTACGTCTCCATCTTGGCGGAAGTCCCAGAATATCTTGAAGAAATACGGACGAGGTTCCCAAAGTGGATTAAACATAGTCTAACTTATAGGTGGAAGACTCTCAGAATCCCAAGCCCCAGCACAGGTCGGCACAGTGGCAGAGAGCACGGGTCCGGAGGAAACCAGGCAGCTTCACATGCCTGCGCTCCGTCTGCTGCGACAGGACAGGCACCTGCCCCATCAGGAGATGGGGGTGGGATTGGAACGCAGTCAGTTATGAGACGGTCGGTGCAAACACTTAGCATGTGGCACCGAGCTAGATCCATTGTGATTGTTTTGCATTGGCAGGGTCGTGAGCTCGCCGCACGAGCCCGCAGCGTGGCTCTCATTGTTTGGAAAACCTTCTGGATCGCCAAATCGAATTGGGGGACCCTCAGTGCAGTGAGTGGGACCATGCTGTGTGGCCAGAGGACGGGTATTTAATATTGGGGTGGACTTTGAAAATCATGAAGGACTGATCCCCTGTCCCCAACTGAGGGCCCTTCGCTGTTCAATGTGGGCTTCGGTTCCAGAGCGCACAAGGCCACTGGGTCCCAGTGACTTCCAGCCAAGAAGGAGCTTCCTGAACTGGGTCACTTCAACCAAGAAGAGACCAACGGAGAGGGAAGAGGAGGAAAAGCCAGCCAGGCAGCCAAGAGGCAGGCACAGGAGTCTCGTTAGCCAAGACGCTAACGGGCGTCTGCTGGGTCAAAAGACTGCTGGGGGGAAGGAGCCTGTGGACCAGCTCTGTCCACTGCCCAGACCCCACTCCGGGCCCACGCCACCATGTGCCACACCAGCTGCTGTACCAGTTCTGTGGGGTGTGCCATGCCTGCTGACCTCCCTTGGGCTGTGGGGTTTCTGTCACGCCCCCTGCATGGCTCAGCTGCCTCTTGCCAGCCGGCCTGCAGCTGCTGGTCCCTGTGCTGCCCAGCAGTCTGTGGCCAGGTCTTCCCCTGCAGCCTGGTCTGCTGCACGCCCGGCCCCTGCCAGGCAACTGTCTCTGAGCCACAGGTCAGGTGGCCTGCTGTGTGCCCGTGAGCTGTGGGCTCATTGTGTGTCCCCCTGCTGCCAGTCCTGTGGGTGCTGCAGGCCCTCCTGCCGCACCCTCCTCTGTAGACTGGCCCTGCTGCGCGCCTTCCTGATGCTGAGCCTGTGACATCCAGGACCCTCCTCGTAGGGTCAGGAGCAGCCCGGTGTATGATCTCCTGTGGGGCTGTCCGGATGTCCACTTCAGACCTTCTGGACCCGACCAGGCCACCTCGTGGCAAGGCTGTCTGATCCCAGCCAGCCAAGCTGAGGGACCTGCCCCCAGGGCCCCGGGCTGGGCCTGGTTCATGCCACCCTGGCAGGTGCCAGCATCCAAGGCCTAATAAATATCAGTGTACGATGCTAACCTGACTGTGGCGACATCTCTCCTTCAGAGTATCTCCCTAAACAGCTCCTATGGAGGTAGTTTCCCAAGGATTCTGGAAAGTTCCTTCTACAGAAAAGGCCCCAGTTGCCATGGCTGTGGCCAGGACTGACTGCTCAAAGGCCACCTCTGAGGTGACAGACACGCTCCTAAGGCCCAGCCATGTGGGAATTCCAGGGCCTCCTTTGAGGTCCCACGCGGTCCCTTGAACTTACCAGGTCAGTTCTTAGCCTCTTGTGGGTGGGGCTGAGGGCAAACCACCAGCTTCCTGGCCTGACCCCTTTCAGGTAAAAGGTCTCCTGCTCCTACTCCATCTAAAGTCAAAACTGTACGTGCCATCGAAAAGTATGGCTCCTCCTTCTCCCATTCGGCGGGAGTGAGCCTGGGGGTGTACAGCTTTTGTGGTCCCCCGGAGATGTCCGTGTCCTGGTCCCAGAGCCTGTGAATATGTTCCTTACAGGGAAAGTGACTTTGAAGATGGGAGTCGGTTCAGGATTGGTGATGGGAGATGATCCTGGGTCAACCAGGGGCCCGATGTTATCGCAGTGACTTATAAGGGACACAAGGGGGACTGGGCTACGGAAGAGAAGTCTCCAGGAAGATGGGAGCAAGACACTAGGCTGCCGGCTTGGAGCACGCGAACGTGGAATGAGGCAGGGACCTCTAAAAGCTGAAAGGGACAAGGAACAGGTTCTGTCCCGGAGCCTCCAGAAGGGCCCGGCCCTGCTCCGGCCTTGACCTCGGACCACAGAGCCCCACGTCGGGTTCCAGCCTCCACAGCTGTGAGACAGTGAATTTGTATTGTTCCAGCCACTGTGTTTGTGGGCATGTGTTCTGGCCATAGGACAGATATCGTTCTGTTGTACAGCTTCCGATGTCTGTTCTTCCTCCATGACGCTGCTGACCACAGCGTGACCGTCGGACAGGAGAGGCACAGGGGAGAGGAGGTGGTGTTCACACCAGGTTACAGCTGCCCCACCCCGCCCTGCTGCACAGCTGTTGAGCCCCTCATTCCTCTGTGGGCTCCTCCTGCTGAGCCCTCTGCCCCGGGCCCACTAGCCAGGGGAGGAGGCCCATTACGTTCTCCGGTGCTTGGCAGCAGGGTTCCTTCTGCTCAGGTCTGTCCTGCTTAAACTGAGTCCACCTCATCCCGTCCCCAAGGGTCCACCTGGACAGCGGTGGCTCTCAGGCAGCATCGCCCTTAGCCCTCTGACCCGTGGGGCATCCGGCACAGATTCTGGCTCTGTTGCTCCTCCCTGCAGGCGACATTGTCACACACAGCCTGACCCGCAGAGCCTTTTCTGCTCCCCAAACCACCCTTAACATGGACAGGCAGGGGGAATAGGTGTGGGCAGGAGCCCACATCCACTCAGGGTCCCTGCCTCTAGCACCCACACCTGCCTCCCGGCCCAGCCCGGGAAAGCTGTCCACTGCAGGGAGGGTGGGCTGCTGGGCTCAGGAAGGGAAATGAACAGGCGGATGGCATCACTCCCAGATCTGTCACCCAGCTGCTCCGAACTCAGATTTGAGAACATGGCTTTATTGTCTGGCTTCTGCCACCAGAGCACGCAGATTTGGGGTGGTCAAGGGGCTCAAGAGAGGAGGAGAAAGCAAACACGTATTTCCTGGCACAAACATCTTATTTATTATACCAATTGGCCTTTGTCACATAGACAGCAAGCAATAGGTTCTGCAGAGAAGGGTCCTGGGGTCCTGCATGCTACCCTCTGGTGAGGGATTTGTGGTCATCTTTTGTCAAAAAGGGATGGGCAGCATGTTCAGATGTGCATTAGGCAGCAATTGTGTGTCCCCTGAGGGGAGAGGGGAGGTTCCGGCACCAGCCAAGGGGCCCCAGGGGCTCGTGGGAGGGGAGAACTGTGCTCAGGAGCGAGAGCAGCAGCTTGAGATCAAACTGGTCAGCAACAGGATGTCTGGGCCACTGGGGCAGGGACACAGCATGCAGGTCTGCACACGGGGCGGCAGATGAGGGACACGCAGGAGGCTGGGCGGCAGCAGCTGGGCTGGCAGCAGGAGGAGGAGGGGGCACAGCAGGAGGAGACAGGCACGCAGCAGGAGGGTCTGCACACAGGGCGGCAGATGACAGACACAGAGGAGGAGGGTTTGCAGCAGGACGAGGCGCAGGGGGTGCAGCAGACGGGCTTGCAGCAGACAGATGTGCAGCAGACAGGCTTGCAGCAGACAGGTGTGCAACAAACGGGTTTGCAACAGAGAGGGATGCAGCAGGCCTGCTGGCAGGGGGAGGAGGTGCAGCAGGAGGGCTGGCAGCTAGACTGCTGGCAGCACAAGGGTGTGCAGGAGCTGGTGCAGGCTGATTGGCAGGGGCTGGGCCCACAGGCCACCTGGCAGCAGGGACTGGACACACAGCTCACTGGGGTACAGATGAGTGTCTGGCAGGGGGCTGGGGCACAGCAGCTGGGGACACAGCAGGTGGACTGGCAGCAGCTGGGGACACAGCAGGAGGGCTGGCAGCAGCTCTCTGGACAGTCGTCCACCTGGCAGGAGGAGTCGGTGCAAGAGTCACTGGAACCAGGCAGGCAGACTCCGCTGCTGTAGCTCAGGTCATTGGAGCAGATGGACAGGGTGGAGGCAGCCATGGTCGGGGGGTGGGGCTGGATGTGAGCTGGGAGGAGTGTGTGAGTGTGTGAAGGTGAGTGAATGTGTGAGGTGCCCAGGCCGTTGGCTTTTATACCCTCCCTGGCTTGTGTTGTCCCACAGCACAGCTCCCCACGCCCTCTCTTCCTTGTTGGGGCTGAGCACCTGTTGCTGGAGAGCCCTCATTAGTGCCCGTGTATTTCCTGCCATCAGCTTCTACTGGTTCAGCTTGTGTGTTGTAGGATGAGCTTCCTGTGTCTCCTTGTTTGGCTCCAGAAAACTTATGGAAAATATCTGAGACAAGTTTTTGCAGAGTTGATGTCAGGCTGTGATTACTCTCCAGTGATGAATTCTGGTTCCATTTTTCCTGTGTTTGTGGTGGTTTAATATTTTTTATGCATGTGAGCATTCTAAAATATAAGTATAACATGAAACTTGCTCATATTATAACCACATCTACGCACAGGATTGGGTCATAGGAAGCTCTCGTTTCAATCACCCCACGCCTGTGAGGAGTTTCAGCATCCTGTGAATTAGCTCCTTCTCTTTCCCCTTTGCTTTCCCTCATGACACACTTGGACACCTCCTTTGTTAGACTGCAAGCGATACTCTGGGTTTTTTTCATTTCCACTTTGTCGTGGGAAACGATCAAAGACTTTTGCACATGTGTTGGTGGGTTTTATGTTTGAAGATTCCTTGAGTGTCTGCAGAGGCATCGAGTTACCACCACACTCATCATGATAGTTCGGCTGGGTATAGAATTCTGTTTTTTTTTAACTCTCACCCAAGGATATTTTTTCCATTTTTTTTTTTAGAGTGGGAAGGGGTGGGGAGAGAAAGAGAGAGAGAAAGAGGGACATCACTGCGAGAGAGAAACGTTGGTTGGCTGCCTTCTCATGTGCACCAACTGGGGGCCGAAAACACCACACCCCGAGTGTGTTCCATGACCAGAAATCGAACCTGGGACCTTCTGGTCTTTGGGAGGATGCTCCAACCAGCTGAGCCACACCTGCCAGGGTGAGAATTCAAGTTCTAAGTAATAGCTTCCTCAAAATATCAAAGACATATTTGCATTTCCTCACGGGGTCCCGTGTTCCTGATGAGAGTGAAGCTGTCGCTTGTTATTTATAGTTTGTTTGTTTGTTTACTTAATTATTGAAGTCTGCGAGAGCATCTGCCCTCCTCCCATCCTCATCCGCAACCTCCTGCTGTAGCTCCCAGGCTCTCATGTTGCTTTGTGTCCTGGGGTGAGAGCTCCTTGCTCCTCTCCACGGGGAGGCCCACCCAGGCCCTACTTGTACATTTACACTGTTGCTACTTTTATACTTAAACGGGGGTCTGCTTTCTGTTTCCGGAGTCCTCCACCACAGGGACTCCACGAGACGTCACACCTCCTGGACTTGCCTTCACGTCTCCCCACTTCCCCCTCATTTTCATATGTTTCATTGGTTGCCTTCTTCTCTAAGAGATCTTTCTTGATTTTATCTTTCAGACCATAGTTCAGTCTTTCATTTCTTGTCTATTATTAGGCCTTTACATTGATTTTTCCCTAATTTTTAAAAATCTTAAAAAAACTTTTTTCAGTTAAAGTCAACATCCATGGCTACGTTAGTTTCAGGTGTGCGGCCCAGCGATTTGCCATTGCGTAACCTACTAAGTGGACATCCTGATAAATCTTGTTCCCCTAACTTTTATTTTCAAACAGTGTTTGATTATTTATTTTTTCTGTAGCAGCTGGATTTTGTCCTGTGATGTAAATGAGATACACTCCCCATAACTCCGATGATGTCAGTGTGCATTGGTACAAGCTTTCTGTCATTTCCTAAGTGATCTGTTTGTTTCATCGGACTTCAGATAAGGCTGCTCCTTGGTGTCAGGCATCTGACTTTTCGTGTAAAAGACTGAGCAATTTTATTCTTATGCACTGGGGTCCTGTTCCAATTTATACTAATCTGTTTCCCTTTGCTTCTCTTTTTTACAAACTTATAGAGAGTCCTGGTGAGCCCTTTTCTTGTCCTGTTTTGGTCTTCCTCATAACTTTTGAAATGTCCTTCCGGTAGGTCCTGAGGGGCTGTGTGAGAACCCTGGCCTCCTCCACCTTCCAGAGCGAAAGGAGCTCGTGTTGCTTTAGGGAAATGGTGAAAACACTGATGATAACCGCAGGGCTTCGGGGCACCACGGGGCTTTACCCTTAGACATGCTCCGTCTCAGCCTGAGCGCTTTCCAGAGGCGACCAGCGTGCGGTGACCCACTTTATAGACACAAAAATGCTGCCAGAAGGAGAGTGTCCTGTGAAAGAGGACAGTGATCAGTGGGAAACCTGAGGGCCTGCAGTCTGACGTTTCTCTCTTGGCCATAAGGGGCTCTGCTTCGTCCCCTTCTCGCTCTCGCCCTGGGCAGCCTTGGTTTTGTGGGTGGGAATGGGGAGAGAATGTGGGCTCCAGGCTAGGGGGCTCCGGGAAGCCTGACACGGACTTCTGGGATGAGTATAAAGGTTTCCCCTTCTGTCCCCCAACCTGTCCCGGGGTCCAGCTCAATGGCACGGGTGTCAGGACTCTCCACGTCTCCTGGGTGTCACCTGTGACCCATGCCCTTTCATGTAGCTCCCTTCTCTGTGGCCTGAGGACTATCTGTCACTGGCCAAGGTGTCTTCCTGCTGTCACTGCCTCAAGTACAACTCTTCGATGGGATGAGTCAGGCTCCTGGATCAGGGAGCCTTTGGTTGGGGCTGGTGGGGTAGGTGCAGCAAAAGAGCAAATGATCAGCTGATCTTTGAAAACAGGAAGAAGTCTCTGGGCATCCGAGTGAGTGCCACAGTGCGTGGGTCACTGTTTCTGGCCGGGCCACGGGCGTGGGGGACGGCTCGGGGGGGCGGGGAGAGGGTCCAGAGGACTGTGGGGCAGAAGCTGCACCCATGCACGTTTTCTCCTCCCTCCCCGAACTGTGTGCTTTCCCTTCACTCTGCTCTTATGTTGGGGATGAGAGGGCAGCACCGGGGGAGGGCTGACCACGAAGCCGTTGCGTCTCGCTCCTGGAGCTGGTGGCAGCGCCTCCTGGAGCCGGTGGCAGCGCCGCCTGTGGCTCACGGCTCAGTGGGGGTTTCTGGGTTGTAGCAGGGCTCTCACTGTGTCCGAGAAGCTTCTTCCTGCCCCTGGTTTACCCAGAGTTTTGCTTTGGGCTTTTATGCAAAGAACGAGTTGAGTCCTCTGTGAGCGTGTATTAACCTATGACAAGTTCTAATGGCCTTTCTGCTTCCATTCGTCAGGACAATTAATTGTATCCTTTCTAAGTTGCATCCTGAGATATACTCTACTCGATAATGGCTTTTAGTGTAGTTTCACATTGAATTCGTTAACACTGTAGTTAGAATCCCCTACTTTATTTTCTTAAATGAGATTGGTCCACAGTCAGGTTCTCTCTTTTTTTTTCCCCCTGTCTCTATCTTGTTGCTGGTTTGGCATGTAAACTGGTGGTCACCGGTGCCAATTCAGCCCCAACAGGAATCCCTGGTATGGGGTGTGGTGAAGAAGGAAACTTTCTTCAGTGGGAACAGTGCGGCTGTGACCCAGCGGGCTGTGCGTGGCCCGAGGCCAGGCCCATCTACACAGCTCCGCTCTGCTCCACTGCCGTGAGGGGCACCGGGCTGTTGCCAGCCCTGTTAGGTGAACCCAGGAAACCTCTGGCTCGTCTTAAGCTCTCGAATGTTTTAAATATCATAAAAAATACCTCTGTGATGATGTGGACGGTACGCACCTTTACAACTCTCCAAGTCTGCGCCTTTGAAATAACTAGATCTTTCCATCCATTTTCAACACTTTCTTTGGATCTCCTTGCATTACAGTTTTTATTTTGTTAGTCATGCAGGTAATTTGCCTTTTTAAGAACATGGTATATTTTGCTTTTATTTTCAAATTGGAAACAGAATGAGGTTTTTTCTTTTAAACAGATTTATTAAGATATAATTCACATGCCATAACATTTACCCACTTAGAGTGCACAGCCCACGGCCTTTAGTGCATTTACAGAGCTGGGCAGCCGTGGCCATTGTCTAATTTTAGAACGCCCTCCCAACCCCCAAACCCGTTAGCCACTGCTCCCCATTGGCTCCTCCACGCAGCTGCTGGCAACCAGCCGTCCAGTTTCCACCTCCGAGGATCCTGCTTTTCTGGGCCTTTCTTACAAATGGAACCAGCGTGGGCCTCTCCTGCCTGGCGTCTGTCACTCAGCACGGTGTCCTCGAGGCCCACCCACGGCGTGGCACGTCAGAGCCTCGCTCCCGCTCACGGCTCAGTAATATTCCAGTGGGTGGCCAGACCACGTTCTGATGTCTCCTCTTCATGGTCATCGCGAACCATGTGGCTGTGCACTTGGCGTGTGGGTTTTTGGTTGAGCCCTGGTTTTTGATTCCGAGTGGTAGATGCCTAGAATTGGACTAGGTGGGTCATATTGTGACTCTGAGTCTGAGGAACTTTTCCAAAGTGGCTGCATCTAGAACCGAGGTTCTGAGGCGGCAGAAAAAGGAACCTACTGGAACATCACCTAGGGTGGGGCCGAGATGCCGTGAAGAACGCTCCCGGGAAAGCGGAGCAGGCTGGGTCCTGCCTGTGCCTTTGATGACGGTGTGCAGAGGTGACAGGACCAAGCGGGAGGGGTCGGGGAATGAGCCCTGGGTCCCCATGCCACTGTCTGTTCTGACCCTAGGTGGCAGAGGGCACAGAGGGGAGGTAATCAGGACCACTGTGTACTGAAGCCCAGGACAAAGATTTGGGCCCCAGCAGCCACCCTGGGCGCACGGCAAGAAGACCGACATTTCTGTCCTTGGTTTCCTCACTTTGTCCCTTTGCAGGGACCTGGCTTTCCTTCCAGGAAGGTGGCGTCCTTTGGAGCCTGTTTCGGGCTGGTCTCTGGCCCCAGCTGCCTGTCCTGGGGGTTCTGTCCCAGGGAGGAATAAGGGAGATGGCTGTCATACCCTCTGCAGTCACAGTGGGTTGGGACCGGGGCCGAGGGCTGGATACTGTCTGCCCTGCTGCCTATGCCTGGTGACATGGCTGGTTACACGGGCCCGTTCACCGGGGCAGGGCAAGGCGGAGGGCCCTGGATGGGCACAGCTGCCCGGCAGAAGGGAGTGTCTGAGCCCAGACCAGAGGGCAAAAGGCAGATTCCAAGGGGCTCTCCAGGAGAATCCTGGGGGCCCCGGGAGTGTGGGGTGTATGGGTGAGGCCACGCATGTGAGGCACACACACCAGGGGCCTGGCACAGTGAGAGCAGGATGGGGCTCGGGAGCAAGCGTATACGAGGGTGTCAGACAGGGGTGCGGGTCCAGGAGCCTGGTTCAGGAGGCAGCCAGGAGCTCCAGGGGAGGCTGCGTGGGGCTGGCCCCTCAGTCCATGGGCACTGGTAACCTTGCTGTGCTTCTGTCCCCACTGGCCGAACCTGAGAAAGGGCCAGGAAGAACCCAGGGCTGCTGGGTTATCCTTCCTGGCTGGGGCACCCCTTTCACATGTCACTGGGGTGGGGGGTGGGGTCGGGGAGAGCTGGAGCAAAGGCAGCCTTGCTAGGCTGCCTGGCCAGGCGCTGCAGTCCCTGGGCTGGTCTAGTGAGAGGGGACCAGGTGGGTGAGGCCCCTGGGGGTGCCACAGGCACTGACACACAGCCTGCACCTCGGGGCGACCACACAGCTGCAAAGGCCAGTGTGGCTCAGGGGCCCATGGCTGCTGCCAGGGGGTGGGTGCAGGAGGTGACCACCGTGCCCCACAGTCCCGGGCCTGGGTTCCAGAGGCAGCTTCACAGAGGTAGGTCTGGGGGCTGTGTGCTAGGGGTTGGGGTCCTGCAGGGCTTAGCGGGGGCCTGGCTTGTGGGGTTCACAGAGACCAGCACCTGGTACCCCTCATCACTGGCCCCACTGAGTCCACAGACAAACAGAAGGTCAGAGCGAAACAGGTGGTTTTATTAGGGCCCAGAGGTGACGTTACTGCCTGGGGTGGGAGCAGGTCCGCTGGGGCAACGGGGCGCATACAGGGGCTCAGGGGGAAGGGGTGGAGCAATGGTGGGGGCTGCACCTGTTCACCAGCATCAGGAAGGATTTGGCGGTTATTGAGGGGCCCCGAAGGAGGAGCCAGGTAAGAAGCAGCTTGTCCTGTCCCTTGCTGTTGTGAAAGCCAGAGGGGGTGTAGCTGGCTGGGAAGTCACCCTACTACTGGGGAAGGACCCTGGATGAGGCCTAGGAAGAGTTAGCAGCAGAATTTCTGGGCTGAGGCAGGGACACAGCAGGCTGGGCGGGAGCACACGGGGCGGCAGATGACGGACACACAGGAGGCTGGGCGGCAGCAGCATGAGGCCGCAGGAGGAGGGGGGCACAGCAGGAGGAGGCAGGCACGCAGCAGGCGGGTCCACAGGGCAGATGAGGCACAGGAGGACAGGTTTGCAGCAGGACAACTGGGGTGCAGCAGACGGGCTTGCAGCAGACAGGTGTGCAGCAGACAGGCTTGCAACAGAGAGGGACACAGCAGGCCTGCTGGCAGGGGGAGGAGGTGCAGCAGGAGGGCTGGCAGCTAGACTGCTGGCAGCACAAGGGTGTGCAGGAGCTGGTGCAGGCTGATTGGCAGGGGCTGGGCCCACAGGCCACCTGGCAGCAGGGACTGGACACACAACTCACTGGGGTACAGATGAGTGTCTGGCAGGGGGCTGGGGCACAGCAGCTGGGGACACAGCAGGTGGACTGGCAGCAGCTGGGGACACAGCAGGAAGGCTGACAGCAGCTGGGGACACAGCAGGAGGGCTGGCAGCAGCTGGGGACACAGCAGGAGGGCTGGCAGCAGCTGGGGACACAGCAGGAGGGCTGGCAGCAGCTGGGGACACAGCAGCTCTCTGGACAGTCATCCACCTGGCAGGAGTCGGTGCAAGAGTCACTGGAACCAGGCAGGCAGACGCGGCTGCCATAGCTCAGGTCGCTGGAGCAGACAGACAGGGTGGAGGCGGCCATGGTATAGGGGTGGGGCTGGAGGTGAGCTGGGAGGAGTGTGTGAGTGTGTGAAGGTGAGTGTGTGAGGTGCCCAGGGCTGTCGCCTTTTATACCCCTCCCTCAGTTGTGTTGCCCCCATAGGAGGCCCCCACGCCTTCCCTTCCTTGTTGGTGTTTGCCCTGTGAACACCTTTATTATGGTCAGTCCTGTTGTCATGCGGTGTCCTTGGTCATCTTGTAAATTTTAGGCTGCCCTGCGATGGGCTGGCTGTCCCTGGCCTGAGTCTGACCCTGGCAGGGACACCTTGAAGGAAGCTGCAACTTCTCTTCATCTGACCCTGCAGTTTCCCCCTGATGAGTCATGTGCCAGGGGACCGGGTGACATCTGGTCCCATGAGGACACACGCTTTCTGGGCTAGCTTCTTTGCACAGGCCTTCCCTGAGGCCAGGAACCTGGCCTGCGGTTGGTAAAGAAGTGGAAGGAGGTACCTATTCTGGAGAAAAGGCAACATGAGGACAGGCCCCTCCTGGGAGGGCTCTCTGAACTTCTATGGTGTCGGCCCAGGACTGTGAGGACCATGAGGCTGGGGACAGGCAAGGGCCTCCCCTCCGCAGGAACGAGAAGGGAACTTGCAGTGGGTCTGGCTTCCCGGAGTGTTGGGATGACCCATTCAGGGACCTTTGGAATCCTAAAATACATCCCTGAAGCCCATGCATGTATGGTCCGTTGTCCTGGGAGAGCAAGTTCCGGTCGGGACCTGACGGAGGGGTGGGACTCACCTGGAGGAGGTGGGCACTGACGAGACTGGAGCGGAGAGGCTGGGGCACAACTGGTCATTGATGTAATTTCAGCCACAACCCGAAGGGAACCTTTCTGGGGTATAAATTGAGGACATGGAGCCTGTGTAAAATATTTGTCATATGCACGATAGATGAAAGTTTAGTATGAACATTAAAAAGTCCTTAGAACTAAAACAGAGCACAATGCAAAAGAATCAAATACAAAATTCAAATCACTGAAGTGATCAATAGCCATAGGCAAAGCTATTGGATATCATTAATAATTAAAGTTTCTCAAATTAAAACACAGATGTCCCACCCGTAAGATCAACCGAGACTCACAACACGAATCACGCCCAGGGCCGACGAGTGGGGTGGCCTCACCCTCAGCCGCCGGCAGCAGGGATGTTTCGAACGTGTGGGTGATAACACATGATATAAAACGCACCATTTCCGCCATTTTAAAGTGTGTAATTCCGGGGCATTTAGTACTGTCACACTGTTGTGCAGCCGTGACCACGCTCCAGTTCCAGAACCTTCCCCCCACCACGAAGGAAATCCTGTGCTGTTCAGCAGTCCCTCCTGTGCCTGTCAGTCGCTGCTCTGCTTTCTGTCCCTATGGGTTTGCTCGTCTGCACATTTCACATAAAAGCCCACACAGCATGTGGCCTTTCGTGTCCGGCTCCTGTCGTTCATCACGGAGGTTCAAGGTCATTCCACTGTGGCATGTGTCCGTGCCCCGCTCTTGGGTGTGGGTGAGCGATATTCCGTGGTGTGGGTGGGCCATGTTTTGTTTATCCACTGATCCGCTGACAGGCATTTGAATTATTTCCACCTTTTGGCTAATATGAATAGTGCTTCTATGAACATTTTTTTGCATAGGTTATTGTTTGAATATCTCTTGTCCATTCTTTTGGCTGTACACGTAGCAGTGGAGTTGCCGGGTCACGTGGTAAATCTGTGTTTAACTTCTGAGTTAAACACAGATTTAAGCACAGCAGCTGTACAAGTGCACATTCTCGGCAGCAGCGTGTGAGGGCTCCCTTTCTTCACATGCTTGCCGACACTTGTCATTTATTTACTTTTTAATTATGGCCACCGTCATGGGTGTGAAGTGGCATCGTGTTGAAGTTTTGGTTTGTAGTTTCCAAATGACCAATGATGCTGGGCTTCCTTTCATGTGTCGGTGGCTATTTGTGTATCTTCTTTGGAGAAGTATTCTTTTTAATTAATTTGTCTTTTTGTTGTTGAGTTGTAGGAGTTCTTTATGTATGATGTATACTAGACCCTTATCAGAATTAAAATTTGCAAATATTATCTTTCATTCTGTGGGTTGTCTTTTCACTCTGGAGACTGTCCTTTAATATACAAAACTTTAAAATCTTGATTAAGTCCCACCTACCTATTTTTTTAATTATATTTTAGTGATTATGCTATTATAGTTGTCCTGATTTTTCCCCTTTGCCCCCTCTACTCACCATGCCCCACTCCCTTAGGCAATCCCCCCACCATTGTACATGTCCATGGGCCACACTCCTAAGTTCTTTGGCTACTCCATTTCCTATTGTGTACTTTACATCCCCAAAGCTATTCTGTAACTACCTGTTTGTACTTCTCAATCCCCTCACCTCTTCACCCATTTCCCCACACTCCCCTCCCATCTGGCAACCATCAAAAGACCCTCCATATCCATTTTGTCTTTGTTCCTCTTGTTTGCTTAGTTTGTTTTTTAGATTTAGTTGTTCATGGATACATATTTTTGCCATTTTAGTGTTCATAATTTTGATCTTCTTTTTCTTAAATAAGTTCCTTTAACATTTCATGTAGTGATGATTTGGTGATGATGAACTTCTTTAGTTTTTTTCTTGTCTGGGAAGCTCTTTATCTGACCTTCAATTCTAAATGATAGCTTTGCTGGGTAGAGCAATCTTTGCTGTAGGTCCCTGGTTTTCATGTTTGAGTATTTCTTGCCAGTCCCTTCTAGTCTGCAATTTCTTTTGATGAAGCAGCTGACAGTCTTATGGGAACTCCCCTGTAGGTAACTAATTTCTTTTCTCTTGCTGCTTTTAAGATTCTCTCTTTCTTTTTAACCATTGGCATTTTAATTATGACGTGTTTTGGAGTGGGCCTCTTTGCATCCACCTTGTTTGGGACTCTCTGTGCTTCCTGGACTTGCATGTTTATTTCCTTCACCAAATTAGGGAAGTTTTCTTTCATTATAATTTCAAATAGGTTTCCAATTCCTTGCTTTCTTTTCTCCTTCTGTCACTCCTATGACGTGAATGTTGGACCTCTTGAAGTTGTCCCAGAGGCTGTTTATACTATCCTCATTTTCTTGGATTTTTTTTTCTTGTTGTTCTGACTGGTCATTTTTTTTTAATTCCTTGTGTTTCAAATCATTGCTTTGATTCTCAGCTTCATCCACTCTACTCTTGTTTCCCTGTAAATTGTTCTTTATTTTGATTAGTGCATGCTTCGTTTCTGACTGGATCTTTCTTATGCTGCTGAGATCCTCACTAAGTTCTTTGAGCATCCTTATAAATAGTGTTTTGAACTCTGCATCTGATATATTGCTTATCCCCATTTTACTTAGCTTTTTTTCTGCAGTTTTGATCTGATCTTTCATTTGGGCCATGTTTCTTTGTCCCCTTGTTTTTGTAGCCTCCCTGTGTTTGTTTCTATATATTATTAAGTAGAGCTACTTTGACTCTGTGTCTTGGTAGTATGGCCTAATATAGTAGGTGTCCTGTAGGATCCAGTGGCACAGCCTCCCCTATCACCCAAGCTGGGTACTCGAGGTGTCCCCTTTATGTGTGCTGAGTACACCCTCATTTTGTAGTTGAGCCTTGGTTGCTTTTGGCAGATCAATGGGAGGGATTTACCCAGGCTAGTGAGCTTCAAGGATTGGCTATGACCACTTATACCAACCTCTGCCCTCCATGGAGGATCAGCTGTGCAGGGGCAGAGTAGTGGTTCTCCAATGTTATCTGTAGCTGACCACTGGGTATACTGGCTCTAGGCTTTCTCCAGGTAGTGTAGGTCAAGGTCATCCCCCACCTGTGTTTTGCCCAATGCCACCCTGCCTGAGCCATAAAGCAATCTGAGATGGCTGCTACTTGTGCTGGGCTTGGAGATTCCCAGGTTAAACCAAGCGGTGAATCTAGGCTGGCTGTTGCTAGTGCTGGGCCTGGGGTTTACCAAGGCCAGCTGTTGTTTGTTTGAGAGGATTTAGGAAGTTGTGCAGTTGAGCCAAGACCAGCCATTCATATGGAAAAGCAGCTTGGATGGCCCATAAGTTAGGTGGGGCAGTCTCTGGGGGTCTCCCAGGTACACCAGTGTTAGCCAGGTTGATGGAGTCTCAGATATGGCACCAGCTTGCTGGCTCAGTGACTGTGGGTGGAGGGTTCATGAATGGGACAGTGGCCTCTGCTCACCTTGATGACAGACATTTCCGTTTCTCCTAGTATGCCACTGGTGCCTTTTGATCTGCTGGAGCTCAGAGGGAGTGAGTAAGTAGGTGAGTCTGTGTGTGGGTTCTTTAAGAGGAATTGCTGGGGCTCCAGAACTTTCTTCCACTGATTCAATCCCTGGTGGTTTTTGCAGCCAGAAGTTGTGGGGACTTATCTTCATGGCACTGGAATCCTGGACTGTGGGGCCCAGGGTGGGGCTGGGACTCCTTGCTCCTGATATATCCCTTCTGAATTTTTATCTACTGCACGTGGATAAGGTGACCGGCTGGTTCCATGTCTGCAGCCCTCCTACCAGTCTGAGTGGATGTGGTTTCTTCAATTCCATAGTTGTCAGACTTCCATTCAGCTCAATTTCTGACAGTTTCAAGTGCTGGTTTTCTCTATTTTAGTTGCAATTTTGATGTGGTTGTGTGAAGAGTCAAGGCATGTATGACTAAGCTGCCATCTTGACCTGAAGTCCTTATCTACTTTTTTCCTTCTGTTGATTGTGCCTTTGGTGTCATATCTAAGAAACTGCTGCCAGATCTAAGGACTGACAGATTGACTCCTCTGTTTTCTTCTAAGAATTATAGCTTTAGCTTTTATATTTAGGGTTTTGGTCTATTTGAGGGGTTTTTTTTTTTTGGTCATCAAATGATCTTTAAGTGAAATATTTTTCTTTGTAGTTCTTAACTAGGCAGGCACCCCACTGCACCACTGCTGCCATCATCTGTGATGTCACAAGGGCAGTGGCCACCAGCAGTGCAGCCCACAGCCTGGGCTGTCCCCAGGA